ATCTTTAGGGGAAGTAAGAGTCACTGTTAGACTGTGCAAATTAGTGACAATAGGCATAACTGATGCAACTCAATCATATGATAATTTTAGGAATAGCTAACTCAGTAACGTGAGTGGAATAGCGAATGCATTCAAAAATTAATATTTCTCGCAAATACTGTCAACATCACCCTTGTGTAGACCAACGCATTAGAAATAGACTATAAATCCGTTGAATAGTGTGCGAGAACGTTGAAGAGATTGAAACTTTCATTGTTTCACCGATGTTTTTGTCACTTTATTGTTCGGTAAGTACCGTATTAACACGCCTACGATCCAGAATAATCTTGTAACTGTTTTGGTTTTGATAAATATCTATGCTGAACACGAGTAGCAAATGTTGAAAATGATAAAAGTGGCCATGAGACAAGCATTACTATAGAAACGAAAACCTTCTGGTCATTAATTAGAAGCAACTGCACTAGACATAGGGTATTTCGAATTATTGCTGCCAAAGTCATAACCACAATTAAATACAATATGACCTGAATGTTTGACTGATATTCGCTGATAAACCGACTGAAGTGAGTTCAGTGTAGCAAAAGTTTCCACTTCGATATTTAGAAGATAGGAGAATTGGTTGAATAAATATTTTTGTTTTCAATTATATCCTCGCCAGTGGTTCCACTCTGATACATAAGGAAATTTTAATACAATACAGCAAAATGACTTATCTAGTGGTGATAAGCTTTTTAACAGTAATTAATCAATTGCAGCAAATCAAGGTAGTGGGTGATAACTAGCCGAAAATTAATGCAACAATTCATGGGTGGATATATTTGCAAAGATTGAGCGAATGGATTACACAATTCATAAGTTTTGGAAAAATAAAAGAAACAAATGAGATATAAAAGCATTCAAACTGATCACGCAATGAAGTAGACAGATAGTTGGAACAATAATGACTTACAAATGCTCTAAGATAAGGGGGGGGAGTTTTCAGTATTTTACTTCCGTATAATAACGGCCGAGTTAAGGAAAGTGCCTGTAAGAATTTTTTTCCCAGCGCACAAGTTTGGCTTCGTTCAGTGCATTCCGATGGCCTCAGTTGTATGTAGAAGGTGAACTGATGAAGCGCATCTTATAGTTGCTAGGCAAAATTTGGTCCTAATAAGGCACTTAAAGTTATCTATCGTAATTCGGGTGATCTTTATTTCGCTTTACAGGCTCGTCTTCTGCATACAGGTCAAGCCATCGGAACCCATCTGAGAAAGCCAAACATGCGTACTGAGAAAAAATTCGTACAGCCAGTTTCGTTACAGTGGAAATCAATACGTGAATATAAAATGAATCCAGTTAATGATTATTCACAATAAATGGGATTTAAGTATTTACCTAACTAATCAGAATCTACGCGCAAGCTCATGTTTTCAACCCACATGAATTATAATCGGTATGAAAAAATATACACTTAGCGTCTAAGTGTATGCTTACGAGATAATCTGTTTCAGTTAAGGGCTCTGCAGAAATGTGAGTTACTTGTTGCAAGTGAAGTGGCACTAAGGCTAATATCTCCCACCTCCACTTAAGCGTATGCAGATATTTCCACTGACAAAATAGGGTTCAAAGAAGCTCATGATCAGGCTAAATGTTTCAACTGATAACCCATATCTTTAATTTGATAAACAAACAATCGTCTGTCAGTATACGACCGAATAAAATAACGAAATATGAAAATACTAAAGTAAACAGAAGACTACGAAAAGTTGATTACAACAGTACACATAGATGACAGCAGACTGGGTTAATGCCAAATCATCTATGGTTTCAATCATCCAGCGTTGTTTACAGAAAGCATATGATATAAATTCATCCCGGATGATTTCTTCTATTAAAATAGTATTCTTGTTTCTTTCTTCCTCTCTTTTACAAATAGGAACAACAACATACACAACATGTGACAGTCATTTCGTTTATTACTTAAAAAAAAGAAAGAAAGTTCACATGCACATAAATAATCAACAGTTAAACAGTCTACTTATTTGTTCTATAACTTATAAATGGGAACAACTGCTACCCGTTAAAATAAAATTTCGCAGATTACAATCACATGGGCAAAGGTTTTGCTGTATTCCTTTCAGCACATGCACAAAATTAAGAAATATGAAAAGCAAGCGACACCTGTTTTATGCCATTAATAGACGTAATAAACAACAAACCACTAAGAAAAGGAATAGGGTGCACTGAAAACATAGCAGTTCACATTCATCTTACATTATTTAAAGTACATTTGATAGGTGAGGAAAAAGTTGCGTGATTTCCTGTACCAAGATAATGTCTCATAAACAATGGTGAGATGTAATTTTAAATTATTCCTGCACGACTTCCATCTTATTGTCACAGTGTATAATATATCCAGTCTTAACTAATCCAATAAAATAACAACACGGTGGATCATCTAAAAGTGTATCCAAAATGTGAAGGTCAATGGTGTTACCAGATTATTTATTTATCGTCTTGTGTTTTCCGTTTATCAATAATATTTCCACTTATGGAGTAGCGATACAAAGATTCACTACAGAGGTAATCTTTCAGGGAGGAACTGTACAAGGAGTATACTTTAGTTGTATACACTTTGAGTAACCAATAATCCATGTTAGAGAAAATGAAGAATTTGACGTACTTCAGGTATATGAAGCCAAAAAGCACTGCTGACTAGGAGATTGCATATTAGGCATAACCTGAACATTTCTTTGTCTTATCACAAGGAAGTTACCACCTTATATTTAAACTGTTTGGTTTGATATAAAAGACACGAAAGTAGCTTGTAACCTTAAGTGATATGTTCGCAACTACGGCTAATTTGGAAGTCACTGAAAATTAGAAGTGACACAAATATGAAAACAATTTTTGATGTTGTTCAGCAATGTGATCACTTGACTTTAGTTTCTTAAGCTGAAGCTTAAGGCATTGAACGCTTCTGTCTAAATATGGCAAAATTACCCAAATCACAGCCTACTATAGAAGTGCGGGAGCCGAAACCACAGTTACCTCAGAGAAATGGAAGGCATATATGTTAACTTCTCATAAGCAGTATTTATCTTCAAGATATTTAAATAAAAGACAGATGTACTTTTTAAACGCAATCTGTTTGTGATATGCAGGATAATTCTGTTATGTAAATTTACCGTTGGAAATTATTCATACAGTAAGAATAGCGTTCCCATTAGAAAAAGACTATGACGGCCAACTGGGTGGTTTTGATATAGATATCATTTTGGTTCTCAGTGGAACACATGGCTTAGAGCTAGAGCTTCGAAGTTTCAGTAGCAGTGGTGTCCTTTTACGGTATGGGGTCGCTAGCCTCACGCACAACCTTTCCTCTTTACCGGACTTATAACCGACTAAGGTATGCATCAGCGGGGGATCGCACCCCGCACCTGTCTGTCTGTTTTCGACATAGAATTTTGCACTGATGTGCAGCAGTTCAAGTCGCCACATTCCATGTGGCACACACAGCAAGAAAGTAGAAGAAATGCATAATAGAGACAGTAGATAGGGATATGAGACAAAAAGAACACTAATAACGAAGAACAATACAGTTCTATTGGAAATTATAAGTCACAGGAGTGGATGCATCTGCACCAGCCATTGAGAACGATTTTGAGCTATGTCACCGATTGTTTCCAGGCATTGGTTTTTACCGTCCCGAGGACCCCAACCAGGAAGTCTAAACTTTCCTACGTGGCTTAGACTAACTGTTGTAGATTTCGTTGACTGGTGCCATGTTTTTTGTTTGACCTCCGCTACCTAACATTGCCCGTCAAGGAAGGCGATTACTAGGCATAGGTAACACCACCTCACCCCGGACCACTTGCGTGGTTGCCCACTGTTCTGCCTCTAGGCTACCAACACACTTTTAATATTGAAATACTACTCACCAAATTTTTAATTTCTGTCAGAAGCTATTCAGTAAAGCTTCAGTATATACACTAATAGTGAAATCTAGGAAACTTGCATCATAACCGGATAAGAAACAGTAGTCTGAAGTCAACCAATACAATGTTTAGTAATCAGGAGAATAGAATTGGCTACTACTGATTTTATTAAAACAAAAAAAAAACTTATAATGATTGAATGTTAAACTTACTTGAAGTCATAATTACGCGAAAACGACTAGCAATCACCATAGTGTACGGAACTGTTTCAAAGTGGGACCTAGATATAGCCAATTCGAGTGCAAGTAAACGAACGAATTTTTGTTGACAAAAGGAGACAAACAAACGCTGAAGTGCCCAATATTTCGTATCACATAATGGTGAGAGCTATAGAGCATGGAGCACTAAATTTCAATCCAAAGCCAGCCACCTAGTAACCTGAAGATAACAACATGGCGTTGCATGAGTGCAATGCCAAAAACTCGCAAACTGAGACAAATCGAATTCAGAATGCTTCTCAGACTTAAGACAATACACTCTGCAACATTTATATATATATATATATATATACTACGATCTCACATAACTTCTCGAACAAATCAAATAGTTCATATGTTGCATAATAATAATAATACTAGCGAATACAGTAAAGAATCGATTTTAAGTATACATAAGTTACCGGACTAATATTCTATCGTTAAAAGTACATCACCAGTGCACCTTAAGAATTAAAAGTACTCGAAAACATCGCTTTATGCTAAAAGACATATGTGCAACAAATGCATATAGTGTACAGCCTATGAGTTCAAGAGTTAAAAAAAACTCGTTTAATGACGATGTTTTTTTTTTGATTTACAGCTTGATTCCACACCGTATTTTTGGTACAAGTATGGAATTTCCAGCGTGGATATCGGTAGCCCAAAGTTCGCAGGCAGACCATAGATATCAGGTGTGCGTCGGTGAGGGCTCGGACCCCGGACCATGTGCATGGTCGGCGAGAATCCTAACCACTGTGCAACAACTAACCTTAATGTGGTAACTTAATATGCACAAAATATGAAGAACATGAAAACACGACTAAGTAAGCAATCATATTTATTTAGCACAAAATAAATGACGTTTCATCTTCTACAAACTTGACTTCTTAAGAAAGCAGTACAGATCTGTGCAGAGATATATAAGCTTACAAAAGAAGTCAAGGTAATCGTGTACACACAAAGATTAGGTAGGATATACATATATATGTGTGTGTGTTTAAGATAGGATTCAATTCCTTACATTTCTAAGTGATCGTGAGTGTACATACATGTATATAATCATCTGACTGAATGTGTGTACTAGTTCAATGTGCTGAATTTCTCAGTATATAATAAAATAAAATATTTCTCAGAATACAATACAATCGAAATAACTTTAAATAATATATTCATAGTAATAACAATAGTGAGTAGGAAAAAAAATATTAAGTTCTATCATAAAGCTAAAGTATACGTATCTGACTCTCTTTATCTCTCCTTGAATAAAAACGAAAAGTACAAGCGAAGAGAGCGGAAAATAAACAACAATAATAAGCTGTACAACAGCGTACAAAGAAATAAGTACTGTAAACTGGCAAAGTTGGGACATAAAATTAAAGGAAAATAAATAAAAACCAAATCAATAAAAGTACACAACGTAGCACCATCGTTATGAATCATCCAGTCAACAATCACAGGTGTAAAAATGGATGTGAAAAACAAAAAAATAATAATAACGAGTAATAAAGAAATCAGTGGTGAGAGAAAATTAAAAATATAGCGAAATAAACTAATTGACACAAATAATGCCATATATAATAAAATATAAATCTCTTGAAAACTAAACGAATAAGGAATCTTTTTATCTTCATTGTACACGTCACATAATGCATGCTTATACAGTGTTGGTAGGCGTTTCAGTGTTCACGACTGATGTAGAAACCAACGTACATCACATTCTGACATTCTGTCTTACTCCAATGGCAATCTTGTTGCTGTTATTACAGGGAATAAATAGAATCACTTCTAAATAAAGTTTATACAAATACTTTTGCACTTAGAGACAAAAGAAACTAAAAAAATAAATCTAAACATATTCAAAACAATATTCTATTTTTTCAGTGATCATATGTTATTAATCTTATTTTTACTATCATCATCATCTTCATTATCACTATTCTAAATTTCAAAAATCCATTGTAGAACGAAATGAAAAATTAAAACAAAATTAGTCTCATTTTCTTCAAAACAGAAAGTATGGATGTAATGGGAAGTGAAATACACTGACATAATATGGGTAAACAAAAGAATTGCTATCTCACACTCTTTTGCCGGTAATGTGAATTTTATCATCTGTACAAACTTGCAGACTTAAAATTAAGCTAGTGATTTTCATCTGTTATCCAGAAAATAATATATCTACATAAATTAGTAAGCATATACACACATTTATGTGTGTGTATATGGACACAGTCACAACACTACAGTACTGGAAATATAAGAACAAGGCAAATATCAAAAGAATGAAATCAGCTTCTCTGTAGTATATGAGTAAATCTTCAAGAAAGAAACAAAAATTATATGCGTCAGAAGAAAACAAACCCCCTTTGTTTCAAATTGTTCGTGTAAAATAATGATGATAGTAGAGACAATATTAATAACTACAATGATAGCAATAACAGCAAAAGAAAGTGGTATATATATATTAATGCGTACGTGCATTTAGCATTAGATGTAGTACGATGAACAAACAAAAAACTCACGAAAACACCACTACTGTAATTTTATGCATATATGTCCAATTCCACACTGATTAGAAATCTCTGTTTATTGGTTATTTTTTTCTTTTTAAAACAAAAATAAAGTTGTTTAGCTGGAGTAATAGTAATAATAACATTAATCTGAAGTATTTTGTCTGACAAACACGTAGATTTTTTCAATCTAAAACAAAATGCTTTGGTACTATAAATATCACATATTCTATTTTTTTAGCCAAGAGGCTGACGAAGACCAATTGTGTCTAAAGGATACAATGAGGTGAATGATCTATTTGGTAGTATATCTCCACTTGTCCTAGTGAACATATCAGAATAGGACGGACTAGAAATGTTCCGCGGATGACTGGAATAAAATAATCTATTCGTTCCATGATTTATATTTGATGTGCCACTGTAACTGACAGATGGAAGTAGGCGAACTGATCGACTACCACGTAGTTTTTCCTCATATTCTAATAACTGTCGCCAAAATCCAGGATTTGGTTGAATACAGGGTCTGATACTACGAACATGCTGGTAGGCATCAGCAAGACTCATATTTGTATGACGCATTAAATAAGCCAGTATAAGCGTACTGGAACGCGAAACACCTGCCATACAATGTACCAATGTTTTGCCACCACGACGACTTTCAGCAGCTATACGATCAGACACTCTGTCGAAATGAACACGCAGATTTGCGGTCTCCACATCTTCCACCGGGACATGAATTGTATTTATTACAGCATTACGAATGTGAGATGGTGGTGAGTCAATCATAGCAGATACCAGCAGGGTGATGCCATGTTGACGTAATCTCTCAGGTGTGATGGCGTTTAAACTGCTAAGAAATAAGTGATTATTGATGCGTGCAATTTGACTAAACATTTGTGTAAAATCTATTTGACAAGGACTGCTGTAAGGTAAAACTGGCGAGACAGTAATATTACGATTTCCACCAGTGGAATTTGTTCCCGATTTGGCAAGTATGTCACAATTCTTTTGTGATTTATCTGGAGGATTGAACAGGGGTGAAACAGTTGACAGTGTTCTTGATCTTGATGTACAATAACTTGAATTGCCTTGGGTTAATTGTGAAGTGCTTGTTGTTGCAGTAGATGTGTTTTGCTTATCACAGTTATTCTCGTAAGCTGCAGCAGCGGCAATCACTGAACATGGATTTAATTTATCAGACACAACAGTAGTATATGTACTACTAAAATTACGTTTACCAAGTGTATTGGTGTTATCATCTTTTGCAATGCCATTGGTTTTCAAAGACAAACTACTAACCGGTAAATCAGAAGTATACAATTCCATTAGTTTTGATCTTTGTTTATCGCTGATTGGTGTTTCAAAATCATCCCACATGAAACGACGTAAACCCCCTAGACTATTAGCTGTTTTATTTGTTGTGCTGTTATTTAACAAACGATTATTGTTAGATGGAAAATGTGTGGATGCGTGGGTGTAATTTGTACTGGTTGTTGGATAATGATTGGGATCACACGCCCACGCTTGAGATCCATGTGGCAGACCGGTGCTGTTCACGCTTTGATGTGAATTTAATGATAGCGTGGTAGCGGAAGGTGGAGGGGGCGCAATACATTTATTAATTAGATTAATTCGTCTATCTTCGTCAAAGGGACGATAACTTGAAGTGTAAGTAGTAGAATAACGACTCATTATGTATAGTATGATTGCTATTTGGTAAACAGGAAGTCAAAATAATACAGTTTTTGTACTTCGCTCAGTTAGGGGCTTTTTAATTAGCTGAAACCAAAAAAGAAATAAAGAAGGACATGAAAATATTAAAAGAAAGCAATGTTTTTAATTTATTTACCAGAATAAATCAAATAAATCCGTATGTTTAGATGTATATCAAGACAGAAGACAAAAATAGAGAAAACAACAACAAAATTGAATTACGATATACTATTAAAATTTTCTGGTTCTATGATGCAAGCATTAAAACAACTAAATACACAGACAATGTGAACCCTCAAAAACCATATATTCATTTAAAACTAAGAGGGGTATAAAGGGATGGGATATGAAGGTGAGGCATTTGAAAAATAATCAAGATTTCAATGTGACTGATTTTAGTAGCTTAGCATTCAAAAATGTAGCTAGGAAGTGCTGAAAATGTGGATCGATTATATCTTCATTCAGTTTCAGGTAAAAAAGCATCATAGTCATCATTCTATTTTGAAGATTTAGTAGTACTCGCAAAATAATTGTCATGACAGAGTAACGTGGGAACGTTACTGCAGCAATTTTGTGACGTGGATACTGAAATGCATTACTTTTATTTTTATAACCTTAAATTAATGTACAACTAACATAAATGTAATCACCGAGGGAGGGGAATAGATGTTCTCCTGGAGATTATATATATATATATATATATATATTCATGAAAGAAAGAAACAGTCGCGAATATTGATTTTGAAAGTTACTGACTATATCTATTTAGAATAAGTAAAAGAAAACGATGTCACTGTACGAGTATTTAACCGGAAAATGTGTTTGCCACTAACAGAAATAGATCCAATATTGTACCAAATGCTGTATACTGTATCACAAGTACTGTTTTGGAATAAAGCAAATTACTATTATTGTATGTAGGAAATCAAAATGATTAAGAAGCAAAAAGCTGATAATGAATTTGATTTTCTAGAAGCCAGAATGAGGCATTCTTCACTGAAATAACATTTCCGAACTCATTTACAATGTGACATCATACTGTCGAACGAGGGGTTAAATTTTTAATTTGAATAATAGCGATTGTATAGGTCCATATATTAGTCAAACTAATACACAACAGAGCTGATAAATATGACGGTATACGTTCGGCAACCTCGCCAGATACTAGCTTACTAGTTTTCTCGCCGGTCCCAAGCCCGGGTAAAGAGGGAGGGTTGGGGCGTGGTGCTAGCAACTCCACCCCTGTAAAACAACCAAATCGCTACAGAAACTTCAACGAATAAATATATTAAAAATTCTAAAAACATAAGCAATAGCCTTACTTTTCGCTGGAATCGGGGAAGTGAAATGACGCAGGCTGGTGAAAGCTAGCCTTCGGGAAGCCAGTCAGCCGATGTGCCTTCTTTCGATGAAAGCAAAAGTAAGGATGGGTACCTGGAATGTTCGTACAATGTACGAAACTGGAAAGGCTGCCCAGATAGCCGCTGAAATGAGAAGGTACAGAATAGAAGTGTTGGGAATCTGCGAGAGCAGATGGAACGGAACTGGAAGGTGCCAACTACCTACTGGAGAGACAGTAATCTATTCCGGCCACCTAGAGGACAACCATGAGCACACCGAGGGAGTGGCCATCATGATGTCACCAACAGCAACCAAAGCTCTCATGCAGTGGGAACCAATCTCCTCCAGGATAATGACAGCCAGGTTCAACTCAAAAGGAAGGAAAGTTACAGTCATTCAATGCTATGCGCCTACAAACGTCTCAGAACAAGAGAAGAAGGAGGCGTTCTACAGACAACTACAAGCAATAATGGACAACGTCCCAAATGGCGATATCAAAATCCTGATGGGCGACATGAATGCGAAGCTGGGACGAGACAACACAGGAAGAGAACTCACCATGGGTCGTGAGGCCCTCGGTGAAATGAACGACAATGGTGAACTCTTCTCAGACTTCTGCGCCTTCAATGATTTGGTGATTGGCGGTAGTGTGTTCAAACACAAGGATATACACAAGACGACATGGATTTCACCAGATGGAAACACCAAGAACCAAATAGACTTCATCTCAATTTCAAGAAAGTGGAGACGGAGCCTACTGGACACAAGGTCAAGGAGAGGAGCAGATGTGGGTTCAGACCACTATCTAGTACAAGGGACTTTCAAGGTGAAACTAAAAGCCTCGAGGATAGCTGGGGATAGGCCACAATGCAAGTTCAACACTCAATTACTGAAGGACACAACCACAAAAGACACCTTCACTGCAACTGTCAGAGCAAAGCAGGAAACACTACGCGACATCACTGAAGAATCATGCGTGGAAGAACATTGGAAGTCTCTGAAGGCGATTCTCAACGAAACGTGTTCAACGGTTCTAGGAAGAAAGAAGAGACAAGACAAGGAATGGCTCTCAACGGACACTTGGAAATTAATAGAAGAGAGGAGAATGGTGAAAGAGAAAATGATTCAATGCAAGGACGGACAGGAGAAGGAGACGCTGAGCTCAACTTACAAAGCATTGGACAAAGAAGTGAAGAAGAGTGCTAGGAAGGACAAAAGACGATTCTACGACAACCTGCCACTGAAGCTGAAAAGGCAGCAGGCAAAAGGGACCTGAGGACACTATATCAGATAACCAAATCTCTATCCGGGAAGAGACCAACACAAGCGAAACCTATAAAAGACAGCCAAGGGAAGCCCATTACCAAGGAAGAAAAACAGATTAAACAATGGGCGGATCACTTCAAAGGACTCTTGAACCGACCATCACCTGCAACCCGTCCAGAAATACCAACAACAGCGCGCACACAACTGCAAGTTGACACCAATCCTCCAACGAGAGCTGAAGTCTTGAACGCAATCAAACTTCTGAAAGCTGGAAAAGCAGCCGGACCAGATGGAATACCCCCTGAAGCACTGAAAGCGGACCCAGAGACGACAGCAGACATGCTGACTCCATTATTGCAAAAGGTCTGGAAGGAGGGAAAGGTGCCTACTGACTGGAGGAAAGGTTACCTCGTGAAACTACCAAAGAAGGGCGACTTACGCCTCACTCTGCAAGAACTGGCGAGGAATCATGCTCCTATCGACGCCAAGTAAAATCCTGAGTCGCATCATCCTGGAGAGATTAAAGGACGCACTGGAGACAGAACTCCGACCAGAACAAGCTGGATTCAGGAAAGGCAAATCATGTACTGACCAAATTGCAACTCTACGCATCATCATCGAACAAAGCATGGAATGGCAATCAAACCTCTACCTCAACTTTATAGACTTTGAGAAGGCCTTCGACAGCGTTGATCGTGAAGTAATTTGGAAATTACTCGAGTACTATGGCGTACCCCAAATATTCATCAACCTTATTCAACAGCTGTACCACAACGGAAGACTCAGCGAGGCGTTTGGAGTAAACACAGGAGTCAGACAAGGGTGCTTTACTATCACCAATGATATTCCTAATTGTGGTGGACTGGATTATGCGTCAGACTGTGGGAAACGAGAAGACAGGAATATCCTGGACCGACGTGAAGAACCTAGAAGACCTGGATTTCGCGCGTGGATGACTTATGTTTGATGTCACACACAATCGAAGACTTACAAGCGAAAACCGACAAACTGGTCGAAGAAGCAGCCGGCAAAGACAGGACTCCAGGTAAACATAGACAAGACGGAGGTTATGAAAATAACCAACCAACAACAGCAACAGATCCAACGTCAATCACCATCAACGGGAGGGATTTGAAAGAGGTTACTTCATTCACTTATCTAGGGAGCATTGTCTCAACTACAGGAGCGGAACGGACGAGGATGTCAAATCGAGCGAGAATCGGGAAGGCGAGAAACACATTCATCAGCCTGAAATCAATCTGGAAATCTTCGTCACTCAGCATCACCAACAAAATTCGGATTTTCAATACAAACGTCAAGTCAGTCGTTCTTCTATACGGATCAGAAACTTGGCGGGCGGGTCACAAAGAATATTTCCAACGGCCTGTTGCAGACCTTTATTAACAACTGTCTTCGCTCAATACTGAAGATCAGATGGCCGGAAAGAATCACCAACAAGGAATTATGGGAACAAACAAAGCAAGAACCAATCGCCCAACAAATATGCAGGAGAAAGTGGAGATGGATCGGACACTCGCTGAGGAGACCGCTGGGTGACATCGCGCGCCAAGCCCTCGAGTGGAACCCGAAAGGGAAGCGGTGAGTGGGACGTCGAAGGGTGACATGGAGATCGTGTGAAGAGGAGTTGAAAGAATATGGATTAACATGGATGCAGGCGAAAAGTATAGCAGAAGACAGAAGAAAATGGAGACGTGCAGTTGAAGCCCTATGTTCCACTAGGAACCCAAGCGAGCAATAATAATAATATACGTTCGGCAGCATGTTAAATCCTATTACTGTAAACGCTTAAATAGACTATTAAAGTTAGACTGTCTTATTAAGAGCAACAAATAATTTTCATAACTTTTGGATATTATAAATAATATTTCGATCGATTGATGAAATGTATATACATCCACGAATGACATATTTATCATATATGGAGTCGTTTCATGCAATTCTGTTAGTGTAGTTAGTGCTAAGGTCATCAAAAAGCAAAAAGCACAGGCAGATTATTTCACTAAAAGTTACCCACATACTAAACTACAATTACTTCAGCGCTAAACCGATTAATGCAACCAAAAATCCGCGTACAGAATAATACAATCTAGCTGCTGAAGTCTTTTTAAATGAGACAGATTTCTGGAAGGCCGACCGTCGATGAATTGTCCTAGTTTAATGGTGGGAAGAGCAATGGATGGATGTGTTGATTGTTTTACTTATCTGAGGAGTTTCATAAATTCTAATGAACTAGTCACCGGGAAATCGCAGCACAGATACAAAATGTCTGTTTAGCACTTGCATTATCTTCGGCAAAGGAATGATATACCCCTACGCATTTGAAGGCATGCGTACTGTGCAGCACTCTCATCCGTATTATTTTAACGTCTCTAACCATGAATTTCTTCATTCGATTGTTTAACTCATATGAAGTAACATAATAAGGTTAGGTGTATTATGTAAAGTTTTATGGACCGAGGTAGTTAGAATACGATTTACGTGTGCACAGCTTGCAGTTTTCTTGTCAAAGTTTCAAATTTTACAAATGCAAATCTTTATCGCACTATTCCGTAACTCTCCATATACTGTGTGCGCTTTTTTGAAACGTGACAACTCGGACTGATAAATTTACACATAGTTTTATGCTGTGAAGACAGTCAGATTGATGAGTGCTAAAGTAATAGTTTTCCTCATGCATGCTGACAATAGAGCAGAGTGAGAATTGAAGGTAGTACAATCATTCATGTATGTCCTAAGGCTCAATTAAAAATCACACACATTTCATATTATAGGGCATTTAAAATGATTATATTACTACGACTGCCTAACACAAGGTCTAAAAAGCTTCCTAAAAACTAGAGGGCACCAGAATAATTTTACGCAAAAGCAGACACATAAAAAACACGGAGGAGTCGAGTGAATATATCAATAAAGTATAATTCAAATGCACCAAAATTCATTTATAGTCATATTATCTAAAAATTTGTGTAGATGAAGGAAAACTGCCATTTCTCAGCGGGGTAACAAAAACTAAGGAGATTATACTCATAACAGAGATGTTACTGTTATCAAAACCATTTTGATCTGAAAAAACAAAGCTGGGTGATTTGGTCACCGTACTACATGACCTTCTCATACCCTTCTCTATCATGGTGTACCTTGAAAAATTCAAATCAAAAAGAGGAACATGTCAATACCTCGTCAGATAAGATTCAGACGACGCAGTAGATCACAACAGAAAATGGTGGGAAAATGGCAATGATACGACTTACGAAATGCTGTCTTTTGAGTTGAAACGGGATGGAAGTTACACCACATCGAACAAATACGCTCACAGATCTTACAAACACTGACTGCTATCCTGGTAGATAATTAAAGAGAAATAAAATAACTATCAGACCTTGGGAACCAAAGATCAAAGTACAGCTGGTATCAGTGGGTTTGTAAGCAGATGAACATGCGTCAGATATACTAAGACATGTCACTATGGAAGTCAGTCAACTCATGTGCCGAGACCCTATTTTTAGAATTAGGAAATACTAACATGCTGACGACAATCATACCGCTGTTGCAAAACAATATGAGTAACTGCGGAATACTCCATTCATTCAGAAAAGCAATCTTATCTTCCGCACAATCCATTCACCAATATTGAAGTATGCGGAATTTTAGTTATCCGACTGTTATGTACTCAATTAAGTTACATTGACAGTCAGAAATACAATGGTGTATTCAACATAACAAAATTAGAAATGAAAAAAAGTAACAACAGTCCAAGTCATGCCACATGTCATACTGAGGTTATTTTAAAAAAGGATAGTTTATTACATTAGAGAAGTTCCGCAAGGAAATCAAGTAATTACATTTGTCACAATCTTAGGATTTTAAGTAAGGCTTATCGATTAGAGTTAGTTTAGGAAACCACACTATGTGGAATTATGGTTTGTTCACTTTGCATCCATGTAGAACAAGACATTGAACGGTGCAAAATATAAAGTGCTGAATAAATGGTATAACAGTAGTTCTTCACCAGCGTTTGTGTGTGTCTTAAAGCTAGATATGGTAAATTCAGGGCAGTTTTGCTACGGCAATATAAATCAAAATAATATTCGTTAAAATCTAATAAGACAAACAATCGGTAGCCACCTACAATTTTGTACATAAATACGTTACTGGTAACATGACTGAAAAAACTGCATTAAATGGAACTGGAGTGGTAAGATGAATTTCAAGACAGAAAGTCGATTAATTAAATTATTGGGTCGTACTTCCATTTTTATCTTCTGGAATCCAGTTGTACACTACTCAGTAGCATGGAGTTGGTGGAGGAGAGACTAGAAGTCGGGACCTAGAAACATGAATGTCCTTCGATTATCGTTTTATAACTACAGATATCAGTACTGTTGGGTGAATAAGATTAAAAGCTAAGTTTTTTACAAGACCTCTATTCATGAAAAGTAGATGTGATTATTTTGAAAAGACAAAGAGATACGAAAGAAGACAAGAAGAACAAATTTATCATGGGGAATGATTATTTGAGAAAAGGAAGTGTTTGAAATCAGTGAAATTGTGATATCAAGCTTGTGTTGTGACTACAGACTGAAAATCAACCATTGTTACCAATTGTGAATTTTCTTTCGCAATGAAAGCATCACTATGCTGGCACGGATACTTGACATTATTAACCATCACTTTCAGGGAAAGATACAAAGCAGTTGGTATGTTTTATACCTTTCAAACATGATTTTATGGACTTTTACGTCAAGTATATATCGTTAAACGTTACTAGCTTTACTAATTTGGTGAGTTGGATCAATTTTAATGGATTGAATACGTATAAGATATTGTAACACATTCGACATGTGTTCTGGCGTTTTTTAAATCACGCAATACGTAGAGAATAGAAATACCAAATTAGAATAGAATGTGGTGCGTCGGTGGCATAGCGGTTAGGACGCTCGCCAACCATGCACATGGTCCGGGGTTCGATCCCCGGGCGACGCACTCCTTTACCTCGCTAAGCCAGTAGTGAGACTGGTGAAGAGGATAGGTTTGGCATGAGGCTAGAAACCCCATCCTGTAAAAATAATCACCACTGCTACAGAAACTTCAAGCCACTAGCTTAGAGCCCTATGTTCCACTGGGAACGTGCAGGAAAATAAAAAAATATTCGAACGTGAGGAACTATCTTCAGAACATATAGTGACTTCGTAGTCAAGTGTATCGTGATTTTCAATTCGGCAAGGTGATGAAATTTTTCTGACTGAAACAACTCACTGTATTTATGATAGTGCAATACATCTGAAGTAAAATTACATTAGAATTATTAGAGGAATGGCTAAACCGTATATTGAGGGATTGCCAGAACAGCTGGTTGGGACAAATATAGCCTTATCAGCTGAACAAACTGAAGAAAATGGCTGCATAACTTGAACTTAACTTACTTAGCAAATATTATTAGTTAAGAGGTTTTTCACCATTCATATCAGTTAGCAAGACGTACCAACTTGGCAACTTATTCAGATCTTAATGCCAGAGTGATAAGTCAATGTTGTATTTAGGATTTTCCGCTTCTGAACTTAGGAAGTTAACCTCAACAAACAACACTTGGATAAAAATGGTTTTGTCTTACAAAACAACAATGAGGATTAATATTTACAAAACTTGTATCACAGTCGATAAAAAAACTCGAATCCCATCATGCCTACAGAAATGATAAGGAGTGAACATCAAAGAAAAACGAGAAAGGGTGTTTGGACTATCAAACCATATTGAGTTTCCACCAGGTTCTCGATCTGGGTTAAATCAGTCTGCGCATATGCACATGAGTCAAAATGCAAAAAAAGGAGTGTATGTTGCAATGAGAACTAATGCTACATGCGAATTATTACTGCAAATAACCGAGGAATTATTTATCAATTAGATGGGTAATAATAAAGACGAACATACATTGCGAAAACTAACTGCTGAAGTTCCAGTAGTTGCACATCGAAGCAAACTTAGCGCTTTTAATTGTACTATTAAATTGTAATGTGTACCTATCATAACTTATCTTTTTAAAATATTTAATAATTAGTAATATGAATTACAGATTCATATAACTGTCATGGTTGTGAGGTTTGTTTTAATTTCTCACCATAACAACCACAAAGGCGTTAGTCTGAAAACTACAGCAGTTTCCAGGGTAATCATACTATCTTCGTGGTGATATTTTGTCTTCCACTGATTATTTCTCACACAAGGGTTTTTTATTTCCAGTATTTGTTTTGTAGATATTCTTTCGTAAGATTTTGTATCACTTGGATAAATCTACCCAGCTATCATCTTTTTCGGGTGCATTTCAGAATCTTTGGGCGCACTGCAGAACATGGAACAAGTCCACTAAGCCTCTCCCATACACTACACAGTGCACCTCCCCCAAACATTCAGCAATACTTCTGAAATTAATGCTAGCTGGGTGATAGTAGCGAAACCTAGGTTTTTATTGTAATTACAGCTCGATTCCTCACTGTATTTTTGGTACAGGTATGAAATTTTCAGCATATGATATCGGGAGCCCAAATTTTACAGGCCGACTATTGATATCAGGTGTGTGTCGATAGGGGATCGAACCCTGGACCATGTGCAGGGTCGGCGAGAATACTAACCACTTGTGTAATATAAAACCAGCGCATCTGCTTTATTTGCTCCATATTACTGTATAATCTTCACTCTGAAAAATCACCAATGGCTGCCAAAATCTTGGCGGAATAGCTTTTAAGATTTCGTATTCCATATTTATTGATTGAGGATAGAAAGCTTGGAGCTTATGTCCATAATTTTCTAGCAAATTTCTGTGGTCGTCCTAACCCTTCTTGAATGAATCAGTCAGGTTGCAGACGCCACTTCTTCTGGGATTGTGTTCTAGGAGTTTGTGACTCAGTGTGAGGACCAGTACTCAACAGAAATATGATTTCTTCTTGGCTTTTGAACTCCCCTGCTATGTCCTCTAAGGTGTTCCGACCTTATGGGAAGGAAAACAGAGAATAGGTATGGTCCTTACAGACTACGTAGTCATTATTTAAAATTCTAAACTTTGTGATTGAGTCTCCTGTGTGTCTACAGTATGCCAGGGAGAAGAGATAAGTTTGTCTTGTCGAGAATCATACGTGTCACCTTCCTTTGAACCCTTTCTAGAATATGTGAGTCCCCTTCAGGACAAGGACTGGCTGCCCGGATAAAGTTTTCCAATTTGACCTCACCGGAGATGTATACAAGGAGATGAACATATCTGTGGTGATTCTAGTAAAGGTTCTGTGAATAGCCCATGAGAATCTGAAAATACGTGCAACCATCGTGCGACAGTGCGCCGTAGTTTTCAAATCGTGGCTAATTATGACACCTAAATCCAAATGGGTCTGAAGTGAACGGAGTGTTATTCTCTCTAGTTCATGGGAACTGATGCTTGCGTGTTCGATGTTCATGGTTGTACATTTTGCTGAAGTCTATGAAGACGACGTCAATAGGTCTTCTACTGTCCCTTGATTTGACCCAGCTCTCTCTTGCAGATTTGACAGGGGTGAGAGCCACGTTGTGCTCTGGATAGCAAGCTGTTGTTTTTTCTATATGCCATGATACTTTTCTTGATGATTCCTTCCACTTTCCTGATCAAAGTGCTGATGAGACTAATAGGCATGTAGTTTTAGGGGCTTTGTTTTGATCCTCCTTTATGGATGTGAGTAACTATGGCGTCTTTTCAGTCACGTGGTAGCACTCCATTGAGAAGAGATAGCTTGAAGATCGTGGTCAATGAGCCGGTTATGTGAGCTAATAGCTTCTTGGGGGGCCTTGTGTGAAGACTACCAGGACCCATTGATTTCCCGGCATCTAGTTTCATCGGGCAGTTGAGTACAACGTCTTGGTCGACATCAACGGAATCTATCTCGTGCTTTTCTGATACGGCCAGAGCTGATCCTATGGGGAGTAACGACTCCGGTGTAAAAACTTGGGAGAAGTAGTCTGCCATTGCTTCTGCTTTTTCTTGATCTTTGTTTTTATCATTGTCAATAGTCAGGTTTATGACACCAATGGATGTTTTATTCCTGAAGTTCACCTACAAGAAAATTTTCTTAGGTTGTACCGCTGCATTTTAAGCCAGGTGTGCTTTGAACTTCATCTCCGGTTGACGGATTTCTGCAAGAGCTTAATTCCTAGCAGTGTTTTATAGTTTCCTGATCTCAGGAGTCTCGAGTGTGGCAAACAGGTTCCACCGTTTGTGTTCACATATAAGTAACTTACAAAACTCTCGGCTTATCCAGGAGGCCAATGTTTCAGTTACTTGAGCGTAAAGTTGTTTGAATTGGTTCCATGTGACGTCTACTTGGGACTTTAAGTTGATATACTAGTTCACTGAGTTGACTGCTGAGACGATCGCATTTATATCAGCTTTCCAAACGTTTGGTTGAGCTGGGGTTTTGGCCCATTATGCTGTTACTGTGAACTTGAAAGTGAGCACAGCGTGAGCACTTCTTTCCAAAGGAGGAATATGTTATATGAGACCCACACCCTCACTTTGGTAGAACACTAGGTCCAGAGTTGAAAAGAAGCGCTGTGAGTCATAGCTCGTGGGCTTAATGACACGTTGAACTAAGACTAGCAAAATACTAGATTTCAGGAGTTCATGATCATAGGAGATGGAGTTATAAGGCTTATCCAGTCAACTGTTGGGGCGTTGAAGTCACCGACTACGAGACTTCGGCATTTTGATGTTCAGGAGCCTAGCTTCTCTATTAGGAAGTCATCTGCACTGCAGTCAGGACATCGGTATACAGCAATGAGGTCAATATCTTGGCCTATGCATTAACGTCTGCAGCGTAGAAGTTCACACGATTTACTTTGGTGAGCTAGTTCTTCGGTGCTACGCACGGTTAAGCATTTCTTGGGGTGGGCGACTACGTCGCCTTTTTTGCGGTTTAGTCTGTCCACCCTATGTACTTCAAAGCTTGGCAGGTTAACTTCGTTGTCAGTAACATCGAGTGTTGTCTATGTCTCTGTGATGATAATTGCATCCGGATTTCCGGAGTCTATCATATTACCCTGCTCAGTCTGTTTGTTCAACAGGTTGTGGGCGTTTGTGAAGTAAATTGTCAGTTCAGTTTGATGCTTCTGCGGCCTACCCATAGAGGTTTTGAGATCATCAGACTTAGAACTTTGGCAACCCGAAAACCCTTAATCTTAAGATGCTTTTCGATATTTCAGCGTCGTTAGCTTAATTCTAGCGCCAAAGATTTCCTTTTGACACGTTCTGATAGGCATAAGCTGGCACAGACATATATGCCTGTTCTTCAGGAATTTGAAAGTTGCTTAGAATGGCATCCTTCTCTTCTTTGGAGTTTAGTATGACTTTGAGGAGGCGTACAGGCTGATTTACTGTAGGGTAGGGCCTTTGGCCGATTTTATATACTCTATGTATTGTTATGCCTGATACTTTTTTTGGGAGTAGCTTATCTAAAAAGGGCTTGAACAAGTTAAGTTCATGCTCAAACCTGACCTTTGGATCGCAGGCCGGTGATTCGTACACTTTGTGGATAACGAGTGACCTGTCAGAGAGATCAGGTTTGCTTGCCGTGGCTTTCTTGCTCTGAGGCGTAAATGTAATTCTGTCCTCCGTGGGTAGTGTGGCCGATGTGTTGTCCTTATCTCGCTTTTTGCGGGAGACTTCATAGCGCTATTCATTGGTATCCTCCTCGCTAATAGTAGTCGATTTTATCTGCCTAATATCCGCGGTGTGGACCAGGCTTGATCTACCCTGGGCGACTTGAGCTGCAGGTTTTTGACCTCTGGTACACCTCTTCTTCGTGCCAGTCTTTCCATTATTGTCACTGAAGGGCTTATCCGGTATCGTGGAGGCAGCATTGGTGTATGGAATATGCTGGGTGCTCTTCTGTTTTGAAGGGCACTCACTCATTGACAGAGACGCATCAGGGACATATGTTGTTATGCCAATGACTCTAGTCACGTTAACGGTGTCTGGTCAGTAGTCGCTCTTCTCCTATGGTGGAAGACCCTCGTAGTCTATGAGCTTTATATCCCTACTGAGAGTGGCAGTGGCTTCCGCTACACGAAACTTAGTCGTACTACAGCAGTATCTGCATAACCAGTTTGCCAGAGTTTTTCAGTAGCGCTTGTATGCTGCAGGAGTTAGGTTTGTGCATATGCTATGAAACCATCTCTTACAGTTATCACACTGCACCCTTTTTTCAACTGGAAACATGCACATAACTCTTCCACAGCGGTTCGTTTTGATAGGCGTGCTTTTCAGAGTGAATTCAGACAAGAGGATCCAGATATGACCTTATGTATATGACCTTTATAAATCAGTGATAAAAAACCAATGAGTGCACAAAAATGGATTTGTATACCTACTAAGTTATAAGAACACAACTTACTATAATTTAATAGACTCAAAACTGAAAAGCAAACTAACTTAGACCAGATAAAACTGATTTAAGGTTAATCTATAGAATTTCGGAGCGTATAACACGACAAAAGCGGAAATTAAACAAGAGCGTGTAAAATTCACTCCCTTTTCAAAGTTTGCTATCAATCAATTTAAAAGCAGAAACTTTTGAGCAAATGTCGAGTCCTCTACAGAAAATACCTCAGCTTCAGGTCATCATGTTCTACTTTATATATTAGACCTGAGGATTTCACATATGTGCTTTTATTAATAGTATGAATAATAATGAAGTTTCGAATTTTTCACTAAACATCTGAGAAACAGAAATATTTTTAAAACTTAACATCATTTCTTGGCACCGCTCGTTTTGTGGTCATCATGAGAGCTTTATCTGAAGAAGGGTAATCGGTGTTTACTTATGGACTTCTACCCTCTGGTTATATCACTAGGTGCATTAAATGAGTAAATAAGTAAATAACTTGAGTGGGATAGGAAGACCAGTCAGCATATTTAGCTCATAAATACGTATGTTATTATAAAATGAGGGACTCACAAAAACATAAAAAATGTCGAGGCTTGCAGTTCAAATGGCTGTGAGCCTTAATTATTTAGTTCATTGAGTCATGCTGATCAACTACCAGTATCACTTCGTTTACCTAGTATTGGATAGATATGATACTTATAAACATCTGAAAGTGGAGAATTCCCAGTCAAACTGCTGAAGTTAAAAGGAACGTGCAGGTGCATATTGCATATACGATAGCACAGAAGATGTCATCTTGAAACCGAAACAGCTATATTTTTTCCTCTGACTCAAAAATGCTATTATATATCGCAGCTTCTCACCTTGCTCCTTATCTTCATTATGACATGAACAGTATATACTTTTACCAGATTGTATTAATTCATCTCCCATACCGTTTTTTGTATTAGATTCCTGTCCTCGAGATAAAATCTAAGAATTTATCGACATGTTTACTTTTCATTTTTCTCTTTATTACCGTATGGTCAAGAAATTAATTTTGTTTATCGGTTAAAATCTTCAGAGTCCTTCTTTTTTTCCTTCACGTTCCCCAGTGGAACATAGGGCTTCAAGCTAGTGGCTTGAAGTTTCTGTGGCAGTGTTTTATTTTACAGGATGGGGTTTCTAGCCTCATGCCCAACCTTTTCTCTTTACCAGCATTATTTCTGGCTTAGCGAGGTAAAGGAGTGAGTAGGCCGGTGATCGAACCCCGGACCATGTGCATGGTTGGCAAGCGTCCTAACCGCTCTACCACTGATGTAAAGTCCTTCAGTATTTATAAATCATGTCCCGTGAAAATCTTATGCATATTTACAGCCAGTTGGGTAAGAAACGGCTCTTCACAGGCTTTAGAAACTTAATTTTTAAATAAAAGTGAACTATCGGCCAATGAATGGACGGATCGCCTTTATCATTAATTAAACTATCGTCTGCAATTCAATGATAAGTTTTAGGCAGGAAGAAGCTTACGTTCATATTTTTTTACATCTGTACTTCATATATCCATTCATGCAAATAATCATTACGAAAGTACAAGTTAGCCGACATAGATTAGTAGTTCATTAGCTGCTTTTAAATTAAGCAGTTTATTAGGGTAAAAACCACTGTTCTCTACGATAAAATAGGCTACGTTTAAGTAGTCGTTGTAATAATACAGTGCTTGCATAAAATTGTAAATCAGATGCTTTTGATTCGCCTGATTATTGCTTATCACAATGAATTTCGTGTCATACAAGAAGTCAAAAGCAACGTAAATTCCATAGTTTAAGGTCCTAATTCAAACACATTCACTCAGTTATATGTCACTTAAGAACTGTTTGTAGCACTTTTAGGCTGGATGTAGTTTTACGTTTCAAAGCTTTGATGAATGTTTACTGCTTCATAATCACTGTCTACTTTCAGATACTGCTAATGTTTATGTGGCTGATTGGTTTAGGTGTTCAAATTCCAACCAGCTTGTTTCAGGTTCGGATCCAGCAGCACCCATAAAGGTTTAGGCTCCCATAGATTATCACCAGCCCTTGCACAAAAGGTATGGTCGATGGCCAATTACAACAAACTTGAAAATGGTTGTTAAATAAAAGTTCATTGTTTTCGCGTGCATTGCTGAATCACGTGACTGTGAATAAAGGAAACATGAGAGAGATTCAGACTGTTATTATTATCACTGTTCATTCCCTGCATTCCAAATGAAACATAGAAAGTCTATTATACTCGGTTCTTTAGCAACATCTGCGGATACCTCACAAACGCCTTTTACCTGTTCTCATGGTATTCTCATTTTCTAACCCCGGAGTCTACTCACCTACAGTCCAGGTTTCATTCGAAGGCTTAGTGTGTGATATCATTTGAAGGTCTCCTTAAGGTGTGTTCGATGCATCTCTATTTTCGTTTGCATACGCGTCAGGTGATTGGTTCCTTTTATTTTACCTACCTGCCAAAGTTCATTGCTGTCTGCCTTTACCGACCGGCTACATGATCTTTAGTATCGAATCAACTAAGGTATCTACTAACGAAAGTATGCAGCTTGTTGCAAATGGTTTTCATGACAGGTACAAATTTTATGAATCATATAGCGTTACTAACTTGATTTATGTTGGTCTTAAAGATTTGTCACCAACAAGAAACTATGGGAAGAAACAAAGCAAGAACCAATCGCCCAACAAATATGCAGGAGAAAGTGGAGATAGATTGGACACTCGCTGAGGAGGCCACTGGGTGACATTGTGCGTCAGGCCATTGCTCGAGTGGAACCCGAAAGGGAAGCGGTGAGTGGGACGTCGGTGGAAGGGTGACATGGAGGAGATCGTGTGAAGAGAAGTTGAAAGAGTATGGACTAACATAGATGCAGATGAAAAGTACAGCAGAAGACAGAAGCAAGTGGAGGCGTGCAGTTGCAGCCCTATGTTACACTAGGAACCCAAGAGAACAATAATAATAATATTTGTGCTGAGATCTGTATATTTATACACTTATACTGTATTAATGAAGATCTACCTTGCTTCCAATCAGGTGGGATCAAACTGAAGTGTTTTGCTTTCACTTTACAGGTACCACAGAGGATTTACCCTGCAGAGATAACATGGCAAAAACTCCATTAAGTGATTCGGAATTTGAGCGTCTGAGAAGAGCACTTATATCAGAAACAACAAGTGTCGCAGATAAATTTGATAAATTGTATTATTCTAAAGGATATTTTACTGGGGTACAGGTAATCTCTGAGGACTTCATTCATTATGCGATTTTTTATTTTAGTAACAATATATATGTATGTATGAAATTTACACTTATCTGACAGAGTTTTGATGCTCTTTGGATGGTTAGAAAACCGTATAGCTAAGGATAAATTTCGAGTGACGTTAGAAAGTTTGTAAGTGCCTTAACAAACTAATATGCCTACTTTATGTACACAGGGGAAAAGTCAGCATGTAACGTGAATAAAGTAGAACCAAATAAAAATTATAATAAAAGTATTATTAAATCGAAGTGGCTTGGTAGTGTTAGTCTATAATTGTGGAGAAACTCGACAAAACATTTGAATGTGGTTAGAATGAAGAAGGCTGTATTGGCGTCTATATTATTCTCGGTATCTACTAAGTTTACTGGGAAACAGCATTTTATGAATTTCGTTTCACTTTTTATGTACTAGGTGAGTAGGTATTCCAGCATACATATAAGGATGAGCTAAAATTAGGAACATGGTCTTTGGGTTTCGGCGTAAACGTCTGACAGCTACTATAACATAGGCACAAATGTCCGGAGTAGAATATCACCTTCATCACCATGGTTAGACATGAATATGGAATCTCTATAGGCGTGTTTTGTTTCATTTGTAGGAGCGAAAATTAAAGATTTTTTATCCATCTCCACCAGTTCATACTTGCTAGTGTTCTCTGAATTTCTCTTGATACCCTGCTTCTCTACACATCCCTAGGAGGAAATAGACTTAATTAAAGTTCAAGTTTTTAGACTTTATATGCCTTGATATTCACCATTGAAATAATTCATACTTTCTATCTTATTTAAACTATCTGGCAGTTGATTACCACATAAATTTCACTAACATCTTTGTAGTGAGTTCCCCACACAATTGTTGAATTCACTTAATCTAACAAAAATTTTTATTGTGCCTACCGTAACCAAATGTTTTGTGAGTGAAACTGACTGCATAACAAGCCTAATTATTTCTAATTAATTTGATGATATTAGATAGATGGAGGCAATCGGTAGGAAGCCTCGGACCTAGATTTGGTGCTAGTTTGCACTCGTCAGCAAGGAGTATCTACAACCTTGAAGGTACACATGTCCCTTCTGAGATTCGAACGCGCACCACCCAGTACTGCAGTCACAGACGTTATCACTGAGCTATTGGGGCTCGCGATTGACCTCTTGTAGGACTGTAGCGGTTACTTTGATTAGACACTAGTGACTGGTATGACGTGTCCAGTTCTTTCTTTGATGCAGACTGAATTCTATCAGTCAGGTTTGTAATGTGGCCACCATTCTAGGTAGCTCCCCATCTCAGTGCACATTGATTTCATGATATTAAATATTCATCACAACTAAACGTATCTTTTCAGTAAATTTATCCACTCATTTGTCAAACAATATTTCTTCATTACTGTTAAATCTAATTCATATCTTTACAAAATAATTTTAGGCAGCTGCAATTTTAGCCTGTTACAAAACAGCTCCAGAAAGAGTTCAAGTGATTAAAGCTTTAAAAAAAGTAAGTCCATTTTCTTCCTCTCAAAAATAAGTTATTTCTTGACATTGAAGTAAGGATGTATTCCTTAAACAACGTGAATTTGAAGTGATAGAAGTTCTGACTGTGATGAAATCGCGTTATCACTCTCCTCATCGGAAAAAAACATTACTAATGAAAAAGTTCCCAGTACTGAGTGTCTTTTTGTAATGACCATTTAATCACAATAAAACTGAAAACTGAGAAATTCAACTGTTCTATAAAAAGATTAACTGATGATCCCATTCTTGCTGATGTGGTGATCATACTATGTAGTGGTAGAGCTGTTTAAGGTGTAAGGATTAATCATTGATTTCTAGTGGTGACCACTATCTGTGAATTAGACTAAATGATACAAGACTATAATGATATAAGACTATGTGCGTCGGTGGCACAGCGGTTAGGACACTTGTCGGCCATGCATATGGTCCGGGGTTCGATCTCCTGCTGACGCACACCTGATTTTACTGGTCACCTGTGAAATTCGGGCTACCAAAATCACATGCTGAAAATTCCATACTTATACCAAAAATACTGTGCGGTTTCAAGCTGTAATCATATAAATATATGCCATTTTGGTTTTAGATGCTGAAAGTTGCCTAATAAGAAGGTGTGAACCATATTTCTCACATTTTTATGTTTATAAATATATTGTCTGTCATTCAGTTACTGGTTTCTAACCAGAAGTGTCATATAGGTAATGATTATGGTCAGTGCCTATCGGTGCCATTGCATGGTAGTCACCTTCCATGCTAAAATTTATGTCTAGTGGCTGAACCATAAGGATTTTATTCCGTACTGAATCTCGTACGCTTACTAATTAACAAGGAAGAAATTATTGTCCAGTACTTGTTGTATCATTTGGAGCCTGTTAATCCCACATGAACCTCAGCAATAATTACATTTTCTGCTCAATATTTTCATTATTAATTTTTTAAGATGAAAAGTATATTTTTGTTGCATTTTTAGAGATTGTGTCGCATGACATGTGCCGAGGCAGCTGAAATACTAAAGGTTATGCAATTAACTAATCACGATAGAATATTCGCACTGGATTGTGTTAAGCAGTAAGCAATATCTTGAGTTTAATTCATATTGATAGCGATATATTTCTAATGGTGAAATGACATGTAATGAAGGACTATTAGAACGACTATTTCACGCCACTATGTCATCTGACCAGTTTTTGTCCGGGAACATATATAATTACTTCCATTATTTTCATTTGAATGGGATATAATTTACCCAAAGCACTTGATAATTTGTCTGAGGAGGAAAATAAGTATACAACACTATTTAAACAGTTCTTCAATTCGTGTCTTTTCATCGTGACTATTATCTTTAGGATATAAATCATTTTCGGTATATATATATATATATATATATATATATATATAATTTGGGTTATTTCTTTTCTTTTTTCATTGTTATTTCAGTACACTGATTGATCATGAAACAACAGAAGGAATTGAATACATACTGAAAGCATTCATTTATGAAAGTGATAAGATGAAAGCATTGCACATATTGTCTACTGTAATGATCTATTTTTTTACTACTACTAATCATTCATGTTTACATGTACATATGTGTAGGTTAGTATGCATGTTAGCAGAGAACTTGCAAGTGGTGGACATCAAGTGTATGCACCATTCGGTGGCCTGTACACTCAGTCCTTCCCCGGACGCGAAACACTTTACGGGCCTATCAGTGAGCAGTTAGCTGTGAAAAATGTAAGAGCCTGAAATTAACCATAATTGTTTATTTGATAATTATATATTCAACGTGTAGTGATCCGAATTTTATTTGTTTGAATGGTTGGTGACAATATGTAACTGTGTGGCCCTGATTTTTTCAGAGTTATAATATTGATTATGAAGTTTTTGTTATAAAACGGAGTTTACTTTTGATTATCAGTTCAGTTTGCCTTGAAATGGTCTAGATATGAAGTTTGAAAGCTGGCAGTAAAATTACAATTTCATTCTATTTGATGGTTGGTCACTGACGTCATTTTACCTAGACCTATGTGACACATTAAATTCTGTTCCTCAAGTTCGCAATAAGGTAAGCTGGAAGATTAACTATCACGATGTAGTTGGGAGTAATTTAAGATACTTGGTGACAGTGAGAAAGGTGCTTTGGACCAATAATCATATTCATAACAGTCCTCTGTGAAACCAGTAACACCACTATCAACTCTGTGGTGACAAATTTGACTGCACTGTCCGATTCATTTACATAGAATCTCTGAGAGAATATTTGCTCATCCTAGGTTGCAAATACTTCCTAGTGAGAGGGGTTAATAAGCCCGAAAAGTAGTCCAGCTGATTAGCTTCATCCATCCAGTGTCAACTGTTTTTATTTCTTTGGAATTTTATGGGGCTGAACTTGAGTGACTCGTGTTTTCCAATCTTCTGTTTGTTAGACTCAACTAATGACATGATTTTACGAAGTCTGTGTCCAGTGCTTTGAATATTATCTGTCATCTTTCAGAATTATGTTAGGCGTTAACTTACTTAATGATTATAGACCTTAAAAGCTAAAAATTTGCCTTCAACAGATTTTTAATTAGACCATTTAACAAAATTAACAAAATATCACATGTAAATTACATAAATTACACAAAGTTGTGTGAGTGCCTTGATATGATTGTGGGCAGTCAATTGCTCTCGAAAAATCAACAGTAAACATTACTGTATAGCACTGTGAGACTTGATCACGACAAATTTTATGAAAAATGGATTTATACTCTACGAGAATGCCCAAGTTCTATCTTTATATCAGTATAACATGTGAGCTCATTTATTACAAACTTGAACGAGTTCGAGTGATGGAAGGCAAAAACGAAATGAATCAGTCTACCTTCCAGAAAAGACATTTCAGCTTTACATTTACTATCACTGAAGCTCGAAAATGAAATTAGCCACTTTGTTGTCAAAAGTTCAAATAAGCTGAAGTTGAAAAAAACTGTTTCTTTTCTGACTTACTGAAGGCGCACATATGAGGGAACAAAATGATGCAGATTCAGTTTTGATAGTGTTGAAAAGTAGGTGTGCATCCAAGTCGAATTTGTAAAAGGAAAACATTGTATTTGGAAACACTCTCATTATGCATAGACTGACCAGTGGTAATAGAATTCAGTCTTTGTTCAACTACCTACTAGTAAGTAGTTCAACACTATCGCATGAAATATTTTTGATATTATTTAGGTAGACTTCGTTTTGTATTGATTTAGAAGCAGAAATTGAATATTGTTGTACAGTATACTTACTTACATGTGTGGTTAAATTGGCCTGAAAAGGAGCAAAGTATAAACAGAGCTCAGTAAAAACAAACTAAAGTAAACCAGGTGGACTTAATACATGCACAAATATGCATTAAGTTTCCATTGTTTAACAGGTTCTCGAATGATGACAGTACAAACCATATTTCTTGAGCTAATGTCAGATATATAATGGTAGTATATCAATCTGAAGGTATTGTTACATTCATATACTGAATTAATCAGTGCACTACACTGAAAACCATGCAGTCGTGTAACCATGTGTCGAGAGTTGTCACCTGAAGTGGTGATAAACAGTGATTTTGGTGAGGGACACAGTATAGCTATTCTTATTTAATTTCATTATAGATACTTTCATGGATGTGACAGTTTGATTCTAGTTTTCATAAATGAACGAAATCTCATCATGAATATCACTTGCTGGCATGGTATCTAGATGCCTGTCGAAGGGTGTGTATGCTGCTTATTAGGTCACTTTGTCTTATTTGATGAGATTAGATTGACTAGGATATTTGCTACGCAATGCAGATAGCCACCTTCGTGGATAATTAATGCTAGCAAAAGTTGGAAAACAGGTGGACTTAGTCAGACGTAATCACGATAAAAGCCAGTGAAGTCTTTGACTCTATGTAAGTAGGTGTGAAATGACCAGACGAGTGGTTTGTGGTTATCTCTGGCATGGTTTTCATACATTCTTTGAATCTCAATTCCCTACGTTTCATTCGATTACTTTTAGGCGCTTTTTCCATTAGTGATAATTTGATGTCACATACCTTTGTGCAGAGTTCTATACTGTGTCAATCTCCGTAGCCACACAACATTTCTGCTTACCTTACACATTTATATTGCTGCCTGTTTTTCTCTAGTGCAATTTTTTATATGCTTGGTATTGATGCTGCATTTCCATTGTATGTTTCGGAAGTTGTTCTGAGGAAGAAAGATGTAATGAATGGCATACTCTTCATCCTTCTGTAGTGTTTATTGCTCACAGATTCTTAGAAATATGTGAGTTCTTTCCTTGATTGCTTCTGATGGTGAGACCTTTCACTCTAGGTTGAACTAAATTCCTGCTGTGTTCTGGTAAATCACTAATGTTGAAGAACTCTTCTAACCTGTTTTTTAACTTTCAAGAATGGCGAAAGGCTTCGTAGTTAAATCATCCGGCTGCACGAACTCAACGGTATCGTAAACATTCACCTGAACTAAAAATCTTATGTTTAATGTCATTTCTGTAACCGAAACCTGCACCAGCCCATGTGTTACACGACTTCCAAATTTGTTTTATTTATCGGTAACGTATGTAATGCTACAGGTTGCTGATGAACTGAATCCTTTATTGATATGATCTTTGACTTTTGTAATGAATGACCCGAATCCGGGTGAACTACATAGCAGGACAGTGTCTCCACATTTACTTAGACGATCTCTGTACACATGAAGCTATCCAAGCATACCATCAACGGACTTTAGCACTATATCTCAGCCAGCTTCCATTTTAACGTTAACTGCTTTTTCTCTTATCGCTATACAACCGCCATACGTTACAAGGCCTATGGCGAAAATCTTGTAACTACTGTGGTCAATATAGTGCCCATGCGCTACATAAAGATATCAGTCGGTGCTGAACACAAATTATTTCTGGAGATTTAACCTCTTACCAGATGTAATTTATGTAGTGTGAACCGCAGTACTGCTCATCAAGTCACCTTAACTAATTAACTAATTTTGGTAATTATTATTAATCTTTTCAATAGAAAAATAAATCAATTGTGTTTAACATATCAGTCATACGGGAATGATACATACAAATGATACTAAAAGACCATTAACTTGGTCTCTGGACAATTTTTATGTATATCCATGTCGTGAATTAATGTTCCATTGCTGATTTATGTTTTGGTCTACTTATTTTATTAAGCATGAGGTTAAACCTTCACTGCCTGTGACCGCACGCATGAATCTCCCGGAATCAATATTTCGTGCAGCACCATCATACGCATATATTGGTGACGATAATCGTTCATGGTATCTAGGTGGAGGTAGACCGCCACTGCCACCCCCAATATCCGACAGTGTTATAACTGGTCCACCGAAGGTGTTAGGTGAAACCAGAGAAGATTTCATTCAGAATGCATCAGTTTATCCAGGTGACAATCCGTGCCTAAGTATTAATCAAGTTGCACCAGAGCCGATTGGATATCCGACAATTCACAAACATCAAGAAACCGATTGTTGTTAAACTATGTTAACAAATTGACCGACATGGTATTCTGAGTCTTGAAATCCTGACCACTGATACTATTATTTTTTCAATTCACAGCCATGTTTTATTTATTTTGTTATGATTTCTACTTTATTCGGATATATTTTCTTAGTTACGCAGACTCATAAATTACATGTTAAAGTCAATACAAACAAAAATACAGAGAACAGACTCAGAAGAGAAAATAAATAAAAGTTTTCTCAGTAAAAAACAGCTCATGAGAAAGTCACTTAAAAAAGTGTCTTATCACTTAAGGATTTGAAGAGTTGTCTATTTTTCATCACAAAATAAATAAAAAATAGTAGATATCATCAAAATATTTAGTATTTCTTAAAAATTTGGATTATCAGAGAGAGATTATTTGTCCGATGAAACAGGAGAGAAGACGTTGTACAGTAATATTAACTGATGACGTTTCGAGCACAAACTATTGCTCATAATCATATCAAGTTACTCACACAACTAATAAAGAGATAGAAGAAGCGTTGGTGTTAAATAATTATCCTATAAAATTCATTAGGAAGATCAGTAAAGGCCAAAAACAAAATAAAAATAATTGTAGATCTAGTAATGATAACATAAATAAGAGAGAATATAAGTCATCCACTGTTGTACCATATAAGGAAAGGACATCTAAGGCCCTACGTAGGATTCTTAACAAAGCAGGAATTAGGGTGGCATTCAAACCTACAAACTCACTCAGAGACAAGCTCTGTAGACTAAAAGACCCGTTGGATCCAATTAAACTAAATAATATAATTTACAAAATAACCTGCAATGACTGTGAGTGAGGTCAACTACAAAGGTCAAACCAGGGGGTCAGGGGTAGTCAGATTATCGGAACATAAGAAATTAGATAAGGTAAGAATGGTTGACTCCGAGAAGATAAGTAATTTAGAAAAAAGCTCAGCACTGCATGCATTAACACAACCACACAGTGGGGTGGGAGAGGGTTTAAATTCTAAAAAGTAATATAGGTAGGTGGAGAGAGGGGTTGATTACAAGTCTACACCCAACACATGCAACAGAAATGACTCAATGCAAATACCAGAAATATGGAAGATATTATTACCGCCAGTCAGTCAAATCAGGAGAGGATAATAAATAATCATAAAACTATATTTCAATTCAAACACATCCCAACATTCTAACAAGTAGCTTATTATGACTATAAAAAACACTCTTCGTATTTCCCATCTGATTGAATTCGATCAATAACACTCATATTATTAATTCTGAGTGTACATTATCTCATACTGATTTTTAATACAATATCTAATCGATTCCACACATGTATATAAATGAAGAAAAATAGTTGTGTAAGTAACTTGATATGATTATGAGCAATAGTTTGTGCTCAAAACGTCATCAGTTCATATAACTGTACAACACTGTGTGATTTATCAAAATAAAATCTTATCTATAATGGAGTTATACTCTACCACAGTGCCCAGGTTTTGTACTTATATCAGGAGAAAAGACGATTCACGCCTGCTTATCGTAGTGACAAAAGGTGGTAATTTGGCTATAACGAATGTTATCGGAGGTCTTAATTATCAGAAAGGTTGGTTAGGTAAGAGTTAGATTATAGGTAGTTACCATCTCCATATTGTTTGCTCACACTGTGGTGGAGACCTTTGTGATAAGTTCTACTGATAGGAAATAGGGATGGAGCAACAATAAACTGTATCTAGGATGACTTTTTGTCGGTCGTTAATTGGTTGACTGGGAACCAACCACATGGGATTTCTGGGATCGGTTCTTCCCGCCACAGTTACAATCCTCATCCAACAAACAGGATTCCCGGGAAGGAGGATGGATTCAGAGTCAGCTTATCAATCCAGATTCATAAAAACAAACCGCCACCACTGAAACCATAAAGTCCTAAGCTTTAAGCCTATGTTCCACTTTGAATGAATGAAAAAAATAAAAAAGACCACCAATCCAACTATTCTGGCTTCTCACTCTGAATAGGAGAATTCACCAAAGGTTTTAACCAGTGGATCATACATCCCGATTTAACCAACTACAGTCTGCACAGTAAGGCATTCATTACGGTCACAATTCTGTAAACTAAGAAGACAATTGCAGCGAAGAAAATTTTCTTTTCGACGAAGTCATCATCTAGGCTGTACATTCGTGTATTTATATCAAATGGATAGGAAAGTTCCAGAATAATATCCGGTCAAGGGGCGAATTAATTAAAATTAAAATTAGGGATTAGAATGTCGTAATAAACAGGGTGATGGATACAACAAACAAATTAGCAACATGATAGCTAAGAAGATTGACATTGTGCAATTAGGGGTTAGAAATGTAGAAATAACAAAATAGATAGGATGTTTGGTTAAGAACTAATGTGATGAATAATTATTTATGCAATCAGGAATTAAATATGTAGAAATAGTAAAATGACAAAATAAACACGAAGTTCGGGTATGAAAATATGGTAGTGCAAACAGGGATTAAGAAAAACTTAAAATAACAAGAATAAACAGGAAGTTTAGATAAGAAAGGCGATGGGATGGTCATTACTAAAAAATTACCTGTTTATGATGGCCATGGCAGGGACAGGGGTTGGACGTATTTCTTTTGGATACAAAGGGTGGGTTTCAGCTTTTGTATAGCTGGCGTTCCGACTATGCCCAGATGTCTTGATTTCACTCCCTTTGATAGGTTTGATTGAATCTTGTATATTATTTTGAAGGATTTTTCGAAAGATGCTGAGTGTCCTGAATTGACCATATGTTCTGTCACTGAACTTTATACACGCTTTTAGTCTCCTTTTACTGACCGGGTTGGGTAGTGTTCACGAGCGCGTTTTCCAAGTCGGCGCATGGTACGGCCAACGTACTCAGCTCCACAAGAGCAAGTAAACTGGTATATGCACATTGAGGTAGCCCAATGCGACAGCTTGTCTTTCGCGTTCTGGCTGAACAGTTTCTTGCAGGAAAACCTCAATCGTAGGCTCGCGGCAAAGTATGTTTTCCTTAGCGATTTGGAGAGGCGTTTGCGAAGGATTTCTGCTTCAATATCACCTTTGAATTCTAGATTAAGCAGAAGTATTTTCTTTGGAACGGATTGGACTTGTTCGGAAGTCTTCTTACATTTGAGATTCTTGTCTATGAATCTGGGCGGGAAACCGTTTTCCATCAGGGTTTTCTGAAGATTACCCAGTTCTTCTTCCACCACTTCCTCGCTGCATATTTTCCGAATCCTCGAGGAGAGAGCGTATATCAGGTTCCTCTTTCTACTCAGGGGCACGAAGCTTTGAAAGTTGATGAATTGTCCATTCCATGTTCCGTTCCAGTTGTTCATTTAGTTTTGGACTGATAATGAATTCGTCTTTTATTTTCTTCAATATCTTTGTTAGCTGGAGCTCCGTCTGTTCGGTGGGATCTTTCTGTGGAGACTGTTTCTGAAACTTTTTATCATCAGATAGTATGACCGAGAGTTTGCTTAGGTAGTCTGATTTGTTCATCAAGACGATTCCGGAGCCTTTATCTGGTCGTGTGATGATCAAGTTTTCATTATCCTTCAGTTCTTTCAGCTGCTTTCGGTGTTCTTTGGAAAGTACGTTACGAAGGCTGGGTTTTTTGTTGATGTAATCGAGGCAGCAATTTAAAACGGTTGATTTGAAAAGTTCTGCATTCTCATTTGAGGTTGGGGCCAGATATTTCGTCTGGTCGATTAAATTCTCAAATTGCACTTTCGTGTTCAGTTCATTCACTTTTGACGTTGCATCACAAAACTTAGGTCTAAGCGCTAGAATTTGCATTTGAATTGGAGATAGTGGGACATCGGAATAATCGTACACGTATTTTTCTGGACAAGTAGGAAAGACGGTTTCTTTTGTAACGGATTTTAGGCTTTGATTTAGTTTCATTATAACATCATCTGCTCTTTTCTTTATAACCGTATTGGAGTAGTCTTCGAATGATGTTCTCTCGTCTTCAGATAACTCATAGAGGACGTGGGAGCTTTTTGAGATTTTCTGTTCTAGCTCAGGTAGTCTTGATCGCACTGCATCAATGTGATTCAGAGTGTGTCGTTTCAGTGTACGTGAGTTAGGGGATATGTGATTTCGTCTGTAAACTCCATCATCTCTAAATATGTGCCTTGTTATCAACTTCAGTAAGCTGTTCCACAGGTTCAGCGGTCTCATAAAACCAATCCAATTTTCCCTTCCAAGTACTACAGCTAAAAATCAGTACTGAGAGCATGGCAGCAAGGAATTAAAAACGTCCCATAAACTTTAATCAATACATAAATTCGGTTTTTTAAACACTTACTGTCTGTCTTTTTGTATTCATCAAATTTCTGCTCCCACTGTTAACACTATTTCCCAGACAATCTCTTCATCTGTTCCCAAATGTGTGACAGTCTTCACCATCTTTAGTCGGGGAAACATCAGTGCCAGTATCTTCGTATTAGAGCTTTAAACTTTGGAAGCGGGAATTCATTTAGAAAACATGTGTGAGTACGCTATTACCGGTTTTTATATGACAGGTGTGATTTAGTAGGGAAAGTAACACCTTATACTTTATAATTCACTGCTTGTTTAACTGTGGTTCACTAATATAAACATCCGTTAGTCTAAAGTTTTTATTCCACTTTTATGGCTGCTTTTTGGGCGACTATATAGTTTGGTATGTCTCCACACAAGTAATGTTGATTATTATTTCTTAGACATGCACGTCCGTCGTCGCTGAAATTTTTCTATTGTTAGCTTTATAAGGTTGCATGCTACACCTCAAGGTGATCAAATACGTCATCGGGAGATATTCACTGTCTCTAATATGCACCTACTATACTACTGTGCGTCGGTGGCACAGTGGTTAGGACTCTCACCGACCATGCACATGGTCCGAGGTTCGAGCCTCCACCGACTCACACCTGATATCTATGGTCGGCCTGCAAAATTTGGGCTACCGATATCCACGCTGAAAATTCCATACTTGTACCAAAAATACAGTGTGGAATCAAGCTGTAAATCAAAAATAAAAAAAAAATAACTGAGTGCAGTTCGAAAATTGTAAGAAAGACGGCCAAAATCAAAAGGCTCAGATATTCGTATATAGGCATGTGATTTTGTTGATTAAGTTGGCAAGCTGACCGAGGCCGGAAAACACATTGAGGTGTTTATTAGTGACTCATATCAGTGAGGTGACAAAGGTGAATGTCTGCTGAAATCTTCGTCAAACAACCATCTATTCCTATCCAGTATAAGGTTTGATATAAGAAGGGGTGCTGCCTTATCTGCCAACGTCCTAAATGAATCCAGCAATGGACACACAAATCTAATTCACTGCAAGTTGATTTAAAATTCTCTTGCAAACATCGGAGGACGATGAAAATGAAATATAAGTTGAAAGA